GTGATAGAACTTTAACCTTCCATCACGTTCCACACCTAGGTACTTAATCTGTCTCCTCCACTTGACCTCGAATTCGTCTATCACGATTCGTGGGGATTTATAACCACGTCTGTCTATGACCAGCAATGCTTCGATCTTTTCCAGGGCCATTTGAAAACCTCTGATTTCCATCCAGCATTTTGTTAGCCGCAGACATTCGTTCACCAATGTCCTCAGAGCTTCCGCCGAGTTGGCAGGTAGGGCGGTATACCTTTCTGTATCATCGACTCGATGAGATCTTCCTATCTCGCGGAATTAAACGTGTTCCGTATGTCATTTGCTACCAACGCGCAGAAACTCTTCTTCTTATCTGGACCCAATTTGTTCTTCCCTTCTCTGGCGAGGTCCACAACATTTAGAGGTTTGTCGCCCTTTCTTGAGCAAAGGTATCGGGTATAAGTCTTTCTTGCTCTGAAACATGCCTTTCGCAAGGAAGCCAACGTTCCTGACCACCAGTGCAAGGAACTCTTCTTGGGGAATATGCCATTGCGACGCGGCATTGACGCATCGCAGGCGGTGACAATTATATTTCTCACCGCCCTCACTTCCCCATCAAGACTGTTCGGCCTCCTTACCTAGTCCAACTCTTGAATTCAGCGGGCTTCTAGAAGGGACTGGCCGAACTTCTCCTTGTCGAGTGTCTTATTGTTCTACGAGGGGCTTTTTCGACTAGGAACTTCCTGTCTGCTACCTCCTCGTGTGTCTCCAACTGAGACTGAGAACTCGATGTAAAATAACCTAATGAAATAATATGTAATGATGATCTAATTACTGAAATTTATATAAAATCCATAGACTCAAATGAATGTGATATACAAGAAAAAGTAAAATTATCACCAAGAAATAATGATGTATTTGAATTAAATAATGATGTTAAATGAATGACAGGTGAATTTAGAGTATATTTAAGTATAGATTCATCTGAAGAAGATGAAAAGTGTGACAATAAGTAACTTAATGCAAATTAAAGTATTAAATACTTTTACTCCAAATGGACTTCCTCCTCACAAATTAATAATAAAGATTGGAGAAATTATGATGCTTTTAAGGTCTAATACTTTTTAAGGTCTTTGTAATGGAACAAGACTAATAGTTATTAAAATGAGTAGTTTTTATATTCATGCACAAGTACTAAAGGGAAATTATAAAAATGAGATTGTAATTTTGCCACGAATTATATTGTCACAGTCTAACGAAGAAATGCCATTTCAAATGTCAAAAAAGCAATTTCCAATAAGGCTTGGATTTGCTTCAACAATAAACAAATCTCAAAGCCAATCTTTCCAATATTCTAGAATTACAGACCTTTTTTCTATCATTTTAATAAAAGTAAAATTGTGATTTGTAATTTGTTGTTTATTTGAGTAAAATTTTCCTCACTTAAAAACAAATAAAAAAAGATAGTCAATGAAAAAGGAATTAATTTAAGAAACATTGTTTACCAAGAAGTATTACAATAATATTTAACACATGTTTTTAAAAAATTCGACTATGAGGAAAACTAATAACTCTACTTTATAAATAAATTATGTCATTGCATTAGTAAAGGCTGCGCAGAATAGTAACGGATGCGCTATAAGAAAAAGATGTATAATTAATATTATACTGATCATATTATCGTCTATAAAAGGAGCAAAAATAACATTTAAAAAAAGAAAATATATAAAATATGCTCCAGCAATAACAAAAATTGTAGACTAGCTGCGCTAAATAGTGTGCATGGTTTCTGAATTGAGTGGAATCGGGTATATCTGTAGCTCATTTGGTAGAACATCTTACCAACAATAAGAAGGTTCTGGGATCATACCCGAGCAACGAGAAACGACCCACTTTTTTCGGAAACCATGTACGAAAATATTTGTACGAGTTTCGTACATAAAAACTTGACTGTTGGTCTATTAAATTTCTACCTTATCAGATATGATTAGGTTAATGAAATACTTAATAGGAGACACCTATTTACCATCTTAACTACAATATTAAAATTCAAAACAAAATTACCATCCTCACTAAACAATTTATTTAAATGACACTTAAAATTAGGTGCGATATTATAGGTTCGCAACCAAAAATTTGAGAATCAAGAATAAATAATTAGAAAAAATTGGACAAGTGCGAGTTACACTCGCACTGAAATCGAGGGTTCCGTACTCGAAGCGAACTTATTTGGTATAAAAACAAATGTTTAAAAAATATGTGTTGTATGTTAAATAATATATGTGATACAAAAAGAAACAATTTAAAAAAAAAATTTGAAAAAATTGTTCCTCCTTTGGTATAAAAACAAAAAAAAATTTTAAATATGTGTTGTATTTCAAATAATATAAATGATACGAAGAGGAACAATTTTCTTAAATTTTACAAAATTGTTCCTTTTTGTATCACTTATATTATTTGAAATACAACACATATTTAAAATTTTTTTTTGTTTTTATACCAAAGGAGAAACAATTTTCTCAAATTTTTTTTTTAAATTGTTTCTTTTTGTATCACATGTATTATTTAACATACAACACATATTTTTTAAACATTTGTTTTTATACCAAATAAGTTTGCTTCGAGTACGGAACCCTCGATTTCAGTGCGAGTGTAACTTGCACTTGTCCAATTTTTTTCGTTTTTTGCGGAAAAATACAATTTTTATTAAATTTATCATTTTTCTTCAAAAATTTGATAAAAATTGATCATCAACTCCAATCGCGCTTACATTTTTTCCCTGTATTTTTCACGCAAAAATACAGTTTTGCAGCAAATATGAACAGTTTTGGTTGAATATTATGTGCGCTAGGGAGAATAAATCAATTTTTTCGAAATTTTTGATTTTTCCTTGACAACGCTATGTAAATTGATCTGAATCAAGTTCGATATATTTTTCCTGTAATTTTCACGTTAAAATACGTAAGTGTGCCAAATTTGAGCTCTTTATGTTAAAAGATGTGGTTGCTAGAGGGGGGGTACATAGTCATTTTTCGTAAAAATTCATGGTTTTTCCTTGACAACGCTATGATAATCAATTCCTATCAGGTTCCCTATATTTTTCCTGTAATCTACACGCAAAAATACATATGTGTATCGGTCAACTGGAACTCGAGAAATTTTTTTATTTAAGACTACTTAAAAATTAAATTGTTAATATAAATAACACAAAAAATTCCTTGGAAAAATCCTATGGCGAATCTCATATGAAAACCCGTGTAAACATATGATTTCACATGGATTTATATAAAGGAAACAACCCTCAGAGCATGAGATATCCCGTGGATGTCCAATTTTCATTCCGTGCTATCCCTGAGACATCCCAGGGATATCCCACGGGACGGAAATTTGAATATCCCAGGGATATCCCATGTAGGATATCTCTGGGATGTCCCCCGCGGGATTTATTTATCGCGCATGTACAGGGAACAAACATATGATTGCGTTCTAAGATCGCGGACTAAGGCCTAGAGTGTTGACGTGTAGGATAACGCGTCCTTTATTTTATTTTCTTTTAAATGTTTTTGGAGTTAAATCAAGTAATTTCTTGTGTTTTCGTTAAATTCAAAATAAGTTTAGTGTATATTCAACAAAATTTTTTAAAAGTTTAAATGTTTTTCATAGTATCAAGTGTAAAGTAAAGTGACGCAATAGTGTTCATGTATATATTTTTAGTCATGATTTTGAAATAGCAAGTTTTTTCCGTGAAAAATTAATAAATAAAATCAACGTTTGTTTTGTGTATTGATATAGTTTTCAAACAGTTATTTTATATATGCTGAACACCAAGTTTTTTATTAGCAATAAGAAAGTTTCAGGTTATGTTGTGAGATGTTTTGTTCTTTCATAAAAATCGTACTGTTATTAATTTATAAATTAAAAAATCATATTAAAATAATTTCTAGAACAAATATATTTTTGAAAATAGTTGTTCTTTTAATACATAAAAAATCATTGTCGCTTCTTTCTTACTGTAAGTAGTATTCCATTCTGAAGCATATCCCGCATATCCGCGAGGAAATCCCGCGGGATGGAAATTTGGATATCCCAGGGATATTCCTGAGATATCCTAGGGATGTCCCTGGGATATCCCATCATCCAACAGGATATCCGTTTGTTGAGAGGGAATATAGGATTTCATATAGGAATTTTCAGTAGAATACTACATGCAGACGGCAGTTTTCAAAAATGAAATATTATTTTTTATCTATATAAGAAAAATAAGATTTCACCCATGATACAATATGGGATTTGACATGAGAATATTTTAATTAAGGTTATTATTATGAATTTTTGTATGTTTTTATACAGGAAATTTGATAGGAAATTTATAAGGAATTGACATGGGGAATTGACATAAGATAATGTGAGATAAAATTTAGAGAAAATCACATAGGAATTTACATGATTTTTCAATTTTTCCTTTGTCATTTCCTACATTAAATCCTGTTTTACTTTCCTATACGAATTTATATAGGATCCTATAAAAATTCTTATAAAATTTAAGGATTTTATATAGTTTTTTTTCTGGGAAATTTTATCGGATCCTATATAGGATGCTATATGGGATTACTTTCATATAGGACAACAATTTACCAAAGTATCAAGCCAACCCCAGAACTGTCAATTTTTTGGTTTGGGTGATTGAAGAAGAATGCCTCATATTTAAATATTTTGTAATGTAAAAAAATTAATCCAAAATAAAAAGTAGTAGAAACTTTACGAAACAAAAACATACGCAAAAAACGACTAACTTCAAAAGTATGTTCAGACAGAAAGAATATGAAGATCAAGGCATTTTTTTAAAATTGTTCGCAAGTTTAAAAATACCTAATTTATTGTCTTAAAGATTTTTGGCTGAACTAGGATCACAAGTTGAGAAGTTGATTCTCAGTAAAGCACAGAAACCAAGTCTTCTTTACTTTATTGCATTTATTTATAACTAAAAATAATTTATTGTAATGTATAATGGAAGTGGTACTTACTCGGTCTAAAATACGCTTTACAAGACCATTCCAAGATTTCTTAACTGGATCATATGATCCATAGTTATTATCCTTTACTAGTTCAAAAGTGTGTTTGAATTTTAACAATTGACCAATCTTATGCATCAAATCAACACAATACCCCTCATATCTTTTGCTTCCTATAATAACCTGATTTTCTCCAGAAGTAGCATCCTTTACCTCCATCATGTAAGGTTCACCCTGTAACAAAACAATATAATTTTTTTTCTCTTTATAATACAGTGGCACCTCGATAACTTGGAACTCGTTAAGACGAATTCCTTAGTAAGTCGAAAAAAATAGCATTCCTCTCCCCATTTATACTCAATATATTGAAAGACTTTATATTTCAAAAATTAATATAGTTTGTTTCAAAATGAGGAAAACTTTTTTTTGTGATACTTAGTCGCATAAACGCACCAGTTTCTGACTAGAAAAAACTAAAAATTAGTATGGACCATACTAATTTTTGGGATTATTTGGTTAGAAACTAGTACGTTCATCCGACTAAATAGTACAAAAACAGTTTTTCTCATTTTTAAACAAATTATATTAATTTTTGAAACAAAAAGTCTTTCAGTGTATCTCGAATTATTTACAATTTTTAACTAGAAGAAAATATTTTTTCTTGAGGTACTAATAGTGCGGTTAATAACACAGGCCTACAAATTTTAGACCCAGAAACAGGAATGATCATTCCCGATGTAATTTATCACACTAAATCCAAAAATGACAAGAAAATTGCTCTATCACGTCAGCATTTTGAGATATTCTAACCTAAAAGTGTAAAAAATGCCGTGTTTGGCAATATTTGACACTTTATAAAATCGACAAAAATTTTTTTTAATCATTGGTCCAAATTTCAAAAGAAAGTATTATATTTCCTCTTTCAAAATTTTCTTGGCTTGATCTGATCCAATTTTTTTTCTCAGAGGTACAGCCATTTGCGTTTTACATTGCATGAACTAAAATCCCTTTAAAAAAGAAAAATAAATTGCGAACTACTCATGGCACTGAAAATTGTTACTCAGGAAGTTTTAAAATCGCTAATTACGAATGTGATATCAGATTCAAAAATCTGACATTCAATTCGTAATCAGCGACCCTAAAAACCCCCAAGTAATGAATGACAAGCGAATTCGGTAATTTTTTTAAAAAGTGTCCGCCATATGGGTTCCGACATTTTGAAATTCAAAAATCTGACGTCAGATTCGTAATTAGCGACCTCAAAAATCCCCGAGAAATAAATTTCAGTGACATGAGTACTTTGCAATTTATTTTTCTTTTTGAAAGGGATTTTAGTTCATGTAATGTAAAACTTAAATGGTTGTATCTCAGAGAAAAAAAATTGGATCAGATCCAACCTAGAAAATTTTGAAAGGAGAAATATAATATTTTCTTTTGAAATTTGGACCAATGATTAAAAAAATTTTTTTCGATTTTATAGAAGGTCAAATATTACCAAAAACTTCATTTTTCACGCTTTTAGGTTAGAATATCTCAAAATGCTGACGTGATAGAGTAATTTCCTTGTCATTTTTAGGGTTCCGTACTCGGTTCGGAACCCTATTAATATCGGTTTTTTTGAAATCGTGTACCCCCCCCCTAGCGGCCACATAAATTTATCTGGAGGGCTGAAAATTAGTACACATATGTATTTTCGCGTGTAGATTACAGGAAAATTATAGCGAACTTGATTGGAATTGATTAACATAGCGTTGTCAAGGAAAAACCATGAATTTTTACGAAAAATGCCTAAAAATGACTATGTACCCCCCCCCTAGCGGCCACATCTTTTGACATAAAGAGCTCAAATTTGACACACTTACGTATTTTTACGTGAAAATTACAGGAAAATTATAGCGAACTTGATTCGGATCAATTTACATAGCGTTGTCAAGGAAAAATCAAAAATTTCGAAAAAAATAATTTATTCTCCCTAGCGCACACAATATTCAACCCAGACAGATCATATTTAGTATACAAATGTATTTTTACGGGAAAAATACAGGGGAAAAAAAGCGGTCACGATTAGAGTTGATGATTAACTTTTTATCAAGTTTTTCAAGAAAAAATGACAATTTTAGGAAAAAAATGTATTTTTCCACCAAAAACGAACAAAATTTTATTTAAAGGAAATTAAATTTATATATTTTAACGTATTTTTTGTGTAGATTACAAAAAAAATATAGCGAGCATGATTGGAGTTGATTATCATAGCGTTGTCAAGGAAAAACCATGAATTTTTACGAAAAATGCCTAAAAATGACTATGTACCCCCCCCCTAGCGGCCACATCTTTTGACATAAAGAGCTCAAATTTGACACACTTACGTATTTTTACGTGAAAATTACAGGAAAATTATAGCGAACTTGATTCGGATTAATTTACATAGCGTTGTCAAGGAAAAATCAAAAATTTCGAAAAAAATGATTTATTCTCCCTAGCGCACACAATATTCAATTCAGACTGTTCATACTTGCTGTAAAACTCAATTTTTGCGTGAAAAATACAGGGAAAAAATGTAAGCGCGATTGGAGTTGATGATCAATTTTTTTCCAATTTTTGAAGAAAAATGATAAATTTCAGAAAAAAATGTATTTTTCCGCAAAAAACGAAAAAAGTTTTTCTACAGTGATTCAAATTTATATATTTTGACGTATTTTTACGTGTAGATTACAAAAAAATATAGCGAGGATGATTGGAGTTGATTTTTCTGGAATTAATATAGTATATTTCGTAACGAGTGTGAATATTTGCAGATTTTTGAAAAAGTGTTTTTTTTTTGGGACGAGCTGTAGGCTCGTCAACAATTTTGTAAAATTCAAGAAAATTTTTCCTCTTCGTATCACTTATATTAGTTGTCATACAACACATATTTTTTAAACATTTGTTTTTATACCAAATAAGTTCGCTTCGAGTACGGAACCCTCGATTTCAGTGCGAGTGTAACTCGCACTTGTCCGATTTTTTTTTGATTTAGCGTGACAAATTACATCGAAAATAACTATTCCGGTTTCTGGGTCTGACAAAATCCAAAATTCTGTAGGCCTGTGTAAACGGTTAACCGATTACAGTGAAATAACCGACTATTCGGTTATAACCAAAATAACCGCTTTTGTTGAAATATTTTGCTATTCGGAAACAAAGATATAACTGGTCACGCTGACAAGTAGATAAAAATCGAAGTCTCTTTTAATTGCGTAAGAAATAATAATAAATAGGGGAGAGTGGGGAGCTGTGCCTCGTGGGGAGTCGTGCTACATCATAACTTTTTTATTATGAAAATTAATATGACAAATTTCAACTATTGGCATATTTTTTTCTCGTTAAGAACAAACTTTTTAACTGGTACCCGTAATCTTTAGAAGCTGTCTGTCTTTACAGATAGTGAGTTAAGGGGGGAAACTCGTATAAATGCACGTTTTTTCGGGAAATTTTTTAAAAGACTGGTAAAGTTTATTGAATTAAAGTAAAGCATACCTTAAAGTACACAATATAAGCTTTATAAAAAAAATTTTTTATTAAAATCTTCGATTTGTTCAAAAACAATTGTTAAAAAAATTTTAAAAAAAACAAGAGATCTCGTCATGCAATAGCCAGTAAGATAAAGAAGATTTGTGGTAAGTTTGATTAAAATCAGTTAAACAAGTTGTAAATTCAGATGTTCATTACATGAACATTTTGCTTCCTCTTTACGATCAGCAAAAAAATTTTCTTCCTCGTGGAGAAAGCAAAATTTTATTGCCAAAATGTGAATTTTTGATTTTTTAACTTTCATTAATTCTTTAAATTTACCTCAAATGTATACTTTATATATATCGATCGATTCGTCTTGACGTAAGAAATACGATTTTATTATATATAACCTTACATTTTTCTATTTAAAAATTTTTTCGATTAAAAAAAATTTTTGGAAAAAAGACGATAAAATTTTTTTTCGGGGTATTTTTCAAAATCCTTTGGTCAGATTTGAGATATTAATATGATAAATGAGCCTACCGAATTTTATCTAAATCCATTAAAACCTGTTAAAGTTATCTTCTAAACAAAAAAGGGATCCACACACACACACATACATACATCCGGACAATTGATCAGGATCTCATATAACATGTTTCTATAAAGAAAAAAATTTGTTTCCGCCACTTTGAGAAGTTTTAAAAACGAAAGGACTACAAAGCTTCCTCCACGAGGAAGCAAAATTGGCTGAGTTACATTGCACGGCGCACGAAAAAACACGTTTCGATTAAAACGCGTATATAGTTTTCGATACATAAAAGTAATGTTTTAACTATTGCCTTGAAGACGTTATGTATTCGAAAATAACTATTGCACAAAAACCAAGATTTATTATCACTTGCTTATGGTGCTTGCTAATGACAATTAATAAAAATATATTGACAAGAAACCGAAAGAATAGAGGGATCTTGTGCTCATAACATTTGGTTGCATCTGAAGTGTTAAACTTATGTTTACTATCGACATTCATACATCTAATTATAGATTAGAAATATAGGATCATATTCTACAGATAGTAAACTAATTTTTAAAGCAAAAAAAAATTCTAAAAAAAATATTATTTACACGAGTTTCCCCCCTTAAAATTTTGTTCTAAAACTTTTTATGGCTCTTTATATTTATGTTTAGGTCATTTCCACTAATTTATTCAAAGTGATTACAATGTATGATGCATAAAAATTAGCTGTCATCAATAACTTTTCGACGTTCAAAAAAAAAATTCGCATAAACATTCGATGTATTAATTATTCTACAACTATTTCGAAAATGTAGAAAATGGGGAGTTGTGCTTCTGCGTTGATGGGGAATTATGCCTTACATCATATTTAACAGTGTTTAATTTTAATACGCACTCTTTATTTTTATTTCGCAGTATTTATGAATAATTAGAATGTTTTATGCAATTTAAATATTGTTCTTTAGTGAAATTAGACTTTTTACATCTGTATTCACTGTAAATGAAATTAATTACCCAGTTTAATTCAATTATTTTTAAAATAATTTAATTTTATCTATATTTTCTAAAATTAATCTTTTATTATCTTATCTATTACTTTATTTTATGTTAGTTATCTTACTTTTTTATATTTTATAATTTAAATAAAGAATATTCTAAAAAATATATCTTTTTCTTCAATTTTCAATGGTGGAGCACAACTCCCCACTGTTTTTGAAAAGTC